TATCTAAATATATCTAACTATCTTACTTATTTGTAACTTTTATGCTGTATGAACCTTTGTACGAGATGTTGACAATTTGCGCCTAACCTGTGTATATAGAATATTTTAAAGCGTTTTAATGGCAAACGTTAAACCTGTTCGTCCGAACTTACATGATTATAATTTCAAAAACTAACCTTTCAGTTAGCGAATGAAACCGAGCTGAACTATCGAAGTCAACAACAACCACCRAGCACACCATGTGCCTTTCGCAAAGCAGTCTGGGTTAAAACCACAGGCTGCCCAACACATCTCTCCAACATCCTCCCCTTCCTTAATGTGAACATTAACAATAATTCCAGCTTGAACGTGTAAAAACTCAAACATTGAACAGTACATTATTTTGAAGTCAAGTGTTGATTGGCCAGAGTTTAACCACTGGTCTCTTTAGCACAGTGCCCTTTAGTTGAACATCTGCAGTACGAACGTGGCCATCCAAACCTGGGTAGTTCTTCAGGATCCTTCCTAACGGCCACTTTCCTCTAGGAGTGTCAGGGGAGATTACTAGGACGAGATCTCCTATTTTTAAGTCCCCTTGAGCCTTAAACCATTTTCCACGAGGACTCAATGATGGAAGCCACTCTCTTAGCCATCTTTTCCAAAAATGTCTAACAAGCTCTTGGACCCTATGCCATCTCTTCTTTAGATTAAATGCGGTATCATCCACTGAGTCTGGAGCAAAGTTGCCATCTATCTGGCCATGCAGAAAATGATTAGGCCTTAGAGGAACTTCATCAGATGAATTAGCAGATTGGTAAGYGAGTGGTCTTGAGTTTATTAGTCCTTCAGCACCTACGATGGCACTTCCAAGTTCTTCATCATTTATGTCAGCATTTCCTAACATCGCTTTGATCGCTTTCTTAGCTGCTTTGATCATCACTTCGTGGACGCCATTAAAGTGTGGAGCTCCCAGGGGGATTGGAGTGCCATTTAATTCCCTTGTTAGCAGTGGAGTCTTGAATCTTGTCTTTGTCAAGGGCCCTTACAAGTTCTTGTAGTTCTCTATCTCCGCTTACAAAATTTGTTCCATTATCTGAAACCATGACTTCTGGAATTCCACGTCGAGATACCATACGATAAAATGCATTCAAAAAAGAGTCTGTGTCCATACTGTAAGCCATCTCTAAGTGCACTGCTCTACAAGACTGGCAAGTGAAAAGACAAAGATATTGTTTCTGTCGTGTTTTCCCTCTACCTTGCTTCGTCAGAAATGGGCCTGCAAAATCAACTAAAGCTCGACTTAATGCTCTCAGGGACTTGTGAGTGCGTAGATCTGATAATGGAGCCATAATCTGACTTGCTGGTTTGGCTTTACTTCTTTTACATGTGGCACATTCCCTTTCCCATTCTCTTATTGCTTCT